CTTTCCCAGTCATCCCTTTCCCTCATGTTCTGTAGGCTATTGATTCCCAAGAAAGGCTCTGGAACCCTTTTTGGATGAAGGATTGGCAAGCAACTGGCAGTGCCATTGGGCTGGCTCAATTGGTACTATTTGATTTAGTTGAGTGATTTTGGCAGACACATCTCATATCCAGAGAGAAGGTTACTGTACGCTCTTGTACTTCAATTGAGAACACTACTAGTTCTTAGTTCTTTTACTTCAGAGTAAAAGAAAGAAGTCATGTTTTGTCATATTTTAATGATGTTCACCTCTTGATGTCACTGTTTGTGACACAGGGGAGAAAAGCTAGACTACACGGTGAATCATGTAGAAAAGTCAACTAAATTATTCCTGCAAATATTGAGAACACATAGAAAATAGTCTTATCCATGCTGTATCTGTCAGCGGACATTATGTCTTAGTGTAAATCTGTATTGTAATACATAAGACTTCACTGCTATCTGTACGTTGCCTTAATCTTAGAAATGAATGTTGCATTCAAAATATTTCAATGTCCACATTATGAATTCCTTTTGTACAGCTGATGGGAAATGTTTGGCGTCTATTGGCTTAGATGATAATCATGCCATAGTTCTCTGGGACTGGAAAAAAGGAGAGAAGATGGCAGCAACCAGGTGAGCACATTTTCTTCCTGAACTATATCCTTTTATATATACAGTGAAGTCAAATTTTCAGATGCTATTTCCAGAACTTATTTATTTTTTAAATGGAAAAGTGTATGCGTTAGATTTGTACAGATGTTCTTCTCAATGTATGAAGATAAATTTTGATTAAATCACAGGTGGAAACTTTTTAAAAGTAACTTGTTGGGGTTATTTTCATAATGGCATCTTCAACATTTTTATTAGACTTGGATGAGGGAGTGCAGGGAATGCTTGTCAGATTTGTGGATGACACAACATTGGGTGGAACAGTTAATACCCTAGAAGACAGAAACAAAACTCAAAATAATCTTGATAGGCTGGAGCACTTGGCTGAAAACAACAGAATGAAATTCAGCAAGGATAAGTGCGAAGTACTGCACCTCAGGAAAGAAACCAAATGCACAATTACAAGATGGAGGATACCTGGCTCAGCAATACTACAAGCAAGAAAGATCTTGGAATTGTCGTAGATCACAAGCTGAATATGAGCCAACAGTGTGATGTGGCTACAAAAAAGGCAAATGCTATTTTAGGTTGCATTAACAGAAGTATAGTTTCCAAATCCCATGGATTTGCTAATTCCCTTCTATTCAGCATTGGTTAGGCCTCACTTTGAATATTGTGTCCAGTTCTGGACACCACACTTCAAGAAGGATGCTAACAAATTGGAACAAGTTCAGAGAAGGATAACAAGGATGATTAGGGAGCTGGAAACCAAGCCCTATAAGGAAAGACTGAAAGAACTGGGCATGTTTAGCCTTGAGAAAAGAAGACAAAGGGGTGATATGATAGCACTTTTCAAATACTTGAAAGGCTGTCGTAGAGAGGAGGGGCAGGATCTGTTCTCAATCATCCCAGAGTACAGGAGACGCAAAAATAGGCTCATGTTACAGGAAGTCAGATTTTGGTTGAATATTAGGAAAAACTTCCTAACTGTTAAAGCAATGTGACAGTGGAACCAGCTACCCAGAGAGGTGGAAAGTGCTCCAACATTGGAGGCGTTCAAGAGAAACTTCGTCAACAACCTGGCAGATATCCTTTGATTTGTATTCTTGCATTGATCAGAGGGCTGGATTTGATGGCCTTATAGGTCTCTTCCAACTTCACTATTCTATGATTGCTTGGAGTCTTTTAAAATGATGGCCTAATAGAATGACATTTCAGAAATAATATGATAGCTGCCCAGAGTAGACTTCGGTCTAGATGGGCAGGGTAGAAATTTAATAAATAAATAAATGAGTTAGTGTAAAAAGTAGATCTAATTGTTTTTAGTTAACTTTTTAGGGTGCTTTTTAGTGGCTGTTTGATCCCTATGATGAAATAATACAGCTAATGGGCAGCCGCTACTGGGCAGCAGCAGTACCTGAAGGTTATCCTGGTGGAGGAGGCAAAGATGACACTCAAGCTAACTTGTGTTAGTACTGCACAGAAGGTGACAGTGGTAAACCACTACTGAACTTTACTGACCATGAATACCCTATGATGATACACTACAAAATGAAACAAGGATAGTGCTGCCAGATGAGACTCCCAAATTGGATAACTAGAAACCATAAAGCAAATAATGAAACATATAAACATTGCAGTCCTTAGTGTCAATGAACTAAAGTGGATTGGATATTTTTGGTCAGACAGCTACAAAGTGTTCTACTCTGGAAATGACAAACTCAGAAGAAATGGAGTGGCTCTAATGCTGAGGCAAGACATAGCACAGGTAGTTAGGGATTATAATCTATTAACATATAACTGTCATAAAACTTTATGCTCCAAGTACAGATGATGGAGAAGAAGAAATGGAAAGATTTTATGCAAGTGCCCAGGAAGAAACTGATACCAAAACAAGGCATGCTTATAATCATAGAGATACCAAAACAAGGCATGCTTATAATCATGACTGAAAAACAAAAGTACTGTAGGAAACAAAGCAGAACCAAATATTGTTGGAAAATTTAGCCTAGGGGACAGAAACAAAGCAGGAGAATGACTCAGAGAGTTCTAGGAAATACATACTTTAAATAACCGAACAGATGACTGTACACGTGGACATCACCAGATGGTCAATATAGAAATAAAATAAGCTACCTCATTGGAAGCAGGAGATGGAGAAGCTGTTTTTTTTCTCTTCTAAAACAAGACCAGGAATAGATTGTGGTATTGAGCATGAACTGTTAATATCATGGAAGCAGGAGATGGAGAAGCTGTTTTTTCCACTTCTAAAACAAGACCAGGAGTAGATTGTGGTATTGATCATGAACTGTTAATATCCAACATCAGAATAAAGGTGGAAAAGAATACTTTAAAATTGTCGTGTCAAAATGTAAATCAAACAACATTCCTGATGAATTTAAAATCCACATAAAGAACAGGCATGCATTACTAAATTCAATGGACCATGGACCTGAAGATCTGGGAATGAAAACCAGAGATATTCTTGATGAATTTAAAATCCACATAAGGAACAGGCATGCATTACTAAACTCAATGGACCATGGACCAGAAGATCTGGGAATGGAAACCAGAGATATATATACGGAAGAATGTAAAAAGGCAATTCCTTTAGTAAAAAGAAAAGAGAAACCTATAGAGATGACAGAAGGAACACTTAAAATTGTAAAGGACGTGGGAGAAGCTAACCTTTCCTATGTTACAGCTTGAGCTAACTGAAATATTGTATAGTTGTGTGTTGTTGTTTTTGTTGTTGTTGTTGTTGTTGTTTTTGGAGGGGTTGTTGTTGTTGTTGTTGTTTTGGAGGGGTCGTTGGTCCATTATGAATTACTTCCTAGTCCTTTTCTGGAGATTCCTCCCTATACACTGTATCTGAAACAAGAATAAAGCTGTACCTACAGTGGAAACGTTCTGCATCCCTCTAATATTTAGAACAAATCTGGAAACGTCTACTTGCCTAATATATGGGTGTAGACTGTGACTGAAAAAGAACCGAATAAAGGTGAGTAACAGGTATGTCCAGCCAGCATATTTCAAAAAACAGAAAAACTCCCTGAAACTAAAAATGATGATGTGATTGGATGTTTACCTCTGGTTTTGAAAAAAAAAAAAAAAAAAAAAAGCTGAATACCTCATTTCCTAGACCAAGATCCCTCTCCTGCACTTCTTAGTTTTGCTTTAGAAGAGAATTTCAATGTCTTACTTGGGAGTAAAACAATAGAACCTGTTGGAAAGTAGTTATGTATAAGGTTGGGCTGCAAATTTTTCTTTTGTGTTCTGCCCTGAGGTAGTAATTAAAGGCACATTTCTGTTTAGCAGCACTTTGTAAAAGACATAACAGTTTCTGTCAAATTTAGTTAGAGCTTAAGGTCTGCTTTTAGCTCAGGAAACCCATGGACCATCTTTTTACTATTTCTAATTACTGCACTAGTGTTTCCATTCATTTATTTAAGCATTGCAGATTTTCTTTAATGCATACCTCAAAATGCTCAAAGTCTCTGTTAATGCAAGGATAGAAAACTGATACATCTTTTATTTTTTTAATGTATTGCAGGGGTCACAAAGACAAGATATTTGTGGTGAAATGCAATCCTCATCATGCTGATAAACTAGTGACAGTTGGAATTAAGCACATCAGATTTTGGCAACAAGCAGGTACTATATGCACATCAGATTTTGGCAACAAGCAGGTACAATATTATCATTTCATTTAGTCGTTTAGTCGTATCCTACTCTTCGTGACCCCATGGACCAGAGCACGCCAGGCCGTCCTGTCTTCCACTGCCTCCTGTAGTTGTGTCAAATTCATGTTAGTTGCTTCGCAGACACTCTCCAGCCATCTCATATATAATATTACAAAACAAATTTAAGTTACTTCTTAACCTGGACAAGTTTCTTGCTGTTCCTGTGTCTAACTGTCTGTATCATAATGCACACAATGTGTATTGTGTGAAATCGTGTGACATTGTTGTTTAATTACATTTTTTTAAAATGTGTGCTGCTTATATACCACCTCTCTGGGCAGTTTACAATTTAATTATGCAGGTTACATATTGCCCCCACTTCCAGCAAGCTGGGAACTCAGCTTATCAACCTTAGAAGACTGGAAGGTTGGATGAACTTCAAGTCAGTGACCTTCGAGATAGGTCATACTGAACAGAGTGACTGTCCCAAGGCTATCCCAGTAACGTCCATACCTAGGACCTGGATCTCTAAAGTCCATGTCCAGCTCTAGGTGCTACACTACACTGGCTTTCCCTAAGAGGACAGTTTTCTAGCAAATAAGATCTTACCTGTCTTCTAATAATCCCAACGAAGCACACATACCTCCCCCCCCACAAATATACACTATTTTTTATCCTCGGAACAATTCTGTGAGGCTGTGGCTGGCCCACAGTTGCCTAGGCTGAGTGAGGAATTGAACCTGGTCCTCATCAGTGCCAGTTTGGCATTCTACCAGTACAGCTGCTGTTGTAGATGACCAGTTCTCCATACAGATGTAGACATCACTTGAGGAACTGATAGGTGGTCACTAGTTGACAGATAACTGTTAACAATTATGATATTCTGATAAAGATCACTGGTATGTTCTGCTCCATAAGAAGAATAGGCTGGCATACAGATGTAGACATCACTTGAGGAACTAGTAGAGGTGGTCACTAGTTGATAGATAACTGTTAACAATTCTGATATTCTGATCAAGATCACTGGTATGTTCTGCTCCATGAGAAGAATAGGCTATGACATCTGTATGAACATATGATCATCGCCCTGTTTTCATTTTGCTTATTCTACCTATTGGTGTTATGACAGGCTTTAACATAGTGGTTTCCTATCTTGGGACCCCACATGTCCTTGGACTAAAACTCCCAGAATCCTTCACCACTTGCTGCACTGACCAGGATTTCCAGGCGTTGTAGTCCAAGAACATCTAGGGACCCAAGGTTGGGAACCACTTCTTCAATAAGATAGGAACCATCATCAAGATGGTTTCTATCCAATCATCAGCAACAGAAAATTGCAGCCGTTTACACTAATGCTTTTTGCTGTTGTCATCATAATTCAGGTGGTGGTTTTATCTCAAAACGTGGTGTCTTTGGAAATATTGCCAAGCAAGAAACCATGATGAGTGCTTCCTATGGGCGAATAGAGGATTTAGTTTTCTCTGGATCTGCAACAGGAGACATTTACATTTGGAAGGATGTTTTGTTGCTCAAGACAGTGAAAGCTCATGATGGGCCTGTATTTGCGATGCACGCCTTAGATAAGGTATGTATGTCTCCCACCTTCATATAATGCACTTTGGCTCTGGACTTTTAAAGCCATATCTGTACATATGTCATTTCAAAGCCCACTGCATATTTTCATTCCAGCATCCTTGGATCTGAAGTGGAATTGAGACTGGTGTATAAGGAGAATATTTTGATGCATTGTTAACCCTTGTTTTTGTAAAAATAAAGGGACTATTCTCTTGTAGGATCAGACCAAAACTCAATCAAGCCTGTTTCTGATACATATAAGTAGAATAGTTTAAGGCAGGGTGTTTTTTTCCTCTGAACATGAAGATTACGTTCTTAGCTGCTATGGCTAGTAGACACGGACAGACTAGCCATCATGAAATTTCTGTAAACATTTCTTAGATGTCTACTGTTCAGACTGTGACTGCTCATGTAACTAAGAGAATATCACCCATCCCCAAGACAGGACATAGCAGTAGGCTTGGGATAATCTTAGGTTTACCAAAGTACAAAAAAAACAACAACAGTGCTGACTGAGTTTGAGAAAAATGGAAAACAAGATTAGAAAGGAATAAAATGAAGCACTAGAATTGTGGAGCAGAAGGATGCCTTACTAAAATATCTTCTTGCAGGTTCTAGCTGTTCTTTTGAAAAAGACGTTCAAGCTGGTGTCACTCACAACACCACCTGGTGCTAAACCTTGAAGGAATTCTTTTTGAATCTTTTGCTTTGAATGTTTTGAAACTCAGTCTCCAGCCTAACATGGTGATTTTGATTTCTGAAACAACTCCTGTACTTTTCACAAAGTCTCTGGAGTTAAGAAAAACCATAGTAGGTCAAAGGCCCATCTAATTTAGCATTCTCTTCTGTGGTGGCCAACTAGATGCCCTAATCAAAAGCTCGCCAACAGGGCATTAATGTTCCTGTTCCTTAACAGCTCATATGCATAGTGCCTCTGGACCAGTGTGACTAGTGGCCACAGACAGCTTTATCCTCTGTGAAATAAACAGCGATATTATAATGTGTTAGATTCTGGTTATATCTCGGTCAGTATTGTCTATGGTGAGTGGCAGTGGCTCCCCAAGATCTCAGATACACATCTTTCCTAGCTTTACCTGGAGATGGCAGGGATTGACTATGGCTTTTCTGTGCACACAGCATGTGCTCTGTTCTAAAAATTTAGATCCACCCAGATCCACATGTACCACAGTTTTGATATTGCAGAAGACTATCAAATTATTCCTCTTAAAAAGCAGAGAATCACCTTGCCGACAAAGGTCCACATAGTCAAAGCTATGGTTTTTCCACTAGTGATGTATGGAAGTGAGAGCTGGACCATAAAGAAGGCCATCCACTGAAGAATGGATGTTTTGAATTGTGGTGCTGGAGGAGGCTCTTGAGAGTCTCCTGGACTGCAAGGAGAACAAAACTATCCATTCTGAAGGAAATCATCCCTGAGTGTTCACTGGAAGGACAGATCCTTAAGCTGAGGCGCCAATACTTTGGCCGTCTCATGAGAAGAAAAGACTCCCTGGAAAGGACACTGCTGTTGGGAAAGTGTGAAGGCAAGAGGAAAAGGGGACGACAGAGGACGAGATGGTTGGACAGTGTTATCGAAGTGACCAGCATGAATTTGACCCAACTCTGGGAGGCAGGGGAAGACAGGAGGGCCTGGCGTGCTCTGGTCCATGGGGTCACGAAGAGTCGGATACTACTAAACGACTAAACAACAACAATCAAAATATTTCAAGAGGGTTACACACTTTGCAATTGGCAGATTACCATAATGCAGGCATTAAGCCTTCAGAATTCTGTGAAGGTTTAACACATCTTAAGAGAGAGGAATAGGAGACAAGTTATTTTCCACATCTCTAACTTTTTCCTCCTGTCACTTTGGGGAAGGCAGCATAGGATGCCAAGTCATATCATCTGTGCTAGTAATGCCTGTTTTGATTGGCAGTGAATCTCTGGGGATGTTGGGCAGAAGTCTTTTAATTCACCGTTTGAAAAGTGGAAGTGCTTTTTATTTTTGTTGACATGCCAGGGACTGAACCTGCAATGTTTTGCATTCAGAGTGATGCTCTGTCAGGATGTTAGGACAGAAAAAGGTCCTTGGAAGGTAGACGTATAATCATTTCCTCCAAGTTCACTGGCTCTAATTACAGCTGGAGGAGGTGTTGTCACTGGCAGGTGATTCTTTCCTTTGAAAACAGCTGGGATGATCTCTCCTTGAGGCCTTCTGCTCTTGGACCCAAGCTGCACCACTCTGCTAAATGCCCTTCTGACTGATCATACAGCTCGATACACTGCCGAGTGTGTAGCATAAGGCAATACTGTGACAAAAGAAGTGACAGCTGGCTATATTCCTTTGTCTCAATATTTACATTCATATCCCATAGGAATCTGATTAACTGTAGTAAGGTTGCCCAGGAACAAATTGGACCAGGCTACATTCTCACTCTTTAACTGCTTCCTGTTTTGTTCCCACCATATGAGCATTTCTTAGTCATGCTTGTTTGCACCCTGAACCACTCAGCAATTTTTGGCTTCTCATAAATCAGCATACAGTGGTGCCTCACTTAACGATGATAATCTGTTCCAGGAAAATCGCTGTTAAGCGAAAACATCGTAAAGCGAAATTTAAAAACCCATTGAAATGCATTGAAAACCGTTCAGTGCGTTCCAATAGGCTAAAAACTCACCGTCCAATGAGATTTTCGGTGCCTGTATAGCAAGGAATCCATTCCTAAGCACAGCAGGGAACCATTTTAAGCACCCGGCGGCCATTTTGAAAACCTGACAATCAGCTGTTTTTGATCGTTGTAAAGCGAAAATCGGTTCCCGAAGCAGGGAACCGATTATCGCTAAGCGAATTCCCCCATTTAGACCATTGTTTTACAATCGCAATTGCGATCGCAAAAACATCATCATAAAGTGGTTTCGTCGTAATGCGGGGTAATCGTTAAGCGGGGCACGAATGTAAATCTAATTCACTTTGTCTCAGTATAAAATGAAGAGTGAGGATAATATGTGTCACATGTGAACCAAACTTTATTTTATAACTCAGTAACATCTAACCCTACTATCTTTATCCCTCAACTCTTTTAACTGTCTCTGCATTAAGTAGTTGTAAACACCTGTTTTTCTACAGGGCTTTGTGACAGGTGGCAAGGATGGTGTGGTGGCCCTTTGGGATGATACTTTTGAGAGATGTCTGAAGACTTATGCCATTAAAAGAGCAGCACTGTCACCCGGCTCTAAAGGTATACATTCTCTTTGCTTTGGCTCTAAGCAAGGCCCACAGAAGGCAAATGGAGGAAAGTGGCAGTCTTTATATCAACAAAACAGGAGATTAAATTTAGGTATTGGTAAAGGTAAAGGTTCCCCTTGACATTTAGTCCAGTCATGTCTGACTCTAGGGCGCAGTGCTCATCCCCATTTCCAAGCTGTAGAGCCATTGTTTGTCCGTAGACAGTTTCCGTGGTCACGTGGCCAGTGTGACTAGACACGGAACACCGTGACCTTTCCACCATGGTGGTACCTATTTATCTACTCGCATTTTTGCATGCTTTCAAACTGCTAGGTTGGCAGGAGCTGGGACAAGCGACCGGAGCTCATTCGATCTTACAACGGCTGGTTTTCTAACCTTGCAGCACAAAGGCTTCTGCGGTCTAACTCGCAGCGCCACCACATCCCTTTAAAATGTAATGTAATTTAGGTATTAATGTAATTTAAGTATTAGATTAGGTGAAAAACAGGAAAACAAGTTCTAGATAAATTATTGGTCATATGTAGTGGTTGGAAGTGGTGAACCCTTTTATTTTTTTTAAGTATTTTTATTATTATATGACACATCAACAAACAACCATCACAAAGTACAACAACACGGAAGGAAAAGGGGGTAAAACAAAACAACACAAAACATAAACACAGGGCAGTATTTGCTTTCATTCAATATCTAATATACTTTTGACTTCATGACGGTGATACAATACTAGAATCCATAATCTGTAATATATTCTCTACTTATATGTGTTTCTGGGCCCAGTCATAAAACATTTTCCAGCTTTCTTTAACATATATTCTCGGGTTCTCTCATAATGTTTCTATCCATTTCTGCATTATCTAGTAATTTTATAAGTACTGTAGCTCCTCTTTCTTTGAATTTTCCTGAGTTTTCCACATTTGAGCTCAGATCAGCCTTGCAGCTGTAAATATGTGAGGCAACGTATATTTAAAATGTCGTCAACAATTTCTGGCATTATATTCAACGAAAACATTTCTGGTTTAACAGCTATTTCTTCTTGTATAATTTCTTGTGAAATATCTTTTATCTGTCTCCAAAATCTTTTTGCTTTATGGCATGTCCACCACATATGGAAAAAAGTTCCTGATTGCTGAAAACACTTCCAACATGAGTTGCTAGCCCCCGGTGCCATTTTTGCCAGTTTTACAGGTGTAAAATGCCATCTATAAAACATCTTTAAAACATTTTCTCTCAAATTTACTGGTTTGAGCCATTTATAGTTCTCATTCCACATTTGAGTCCAATCATCTATACCTATACAGTGGTGCCTCGCATTACGAGCGCTCCGTTTGACGAAGAAATCGCATCACAATGAAGATTTTGCGATCCCAAAAGCGATCACAAAACGATCTTCCCTATGGGGGAATTTTGCTTTGCTACGATCGGTCCCCTGTTTTGCTAACCGATTATCGCAAAGCGATGATTTTTGGCCAGCTGATTGGCGGTTTCAAAATGGCCGGCGGGTGAAAAACATGGCCGCCCGCTATTTTCTGGCACGGATTCCTCGCTGCACGGGCAGCGAAAATGGCCACACTATGGAGAATCTTCGCTGGACGGTGAGTTCTAAGCCCCTAGGAACGCATTAATTGGGTTTCAATGCGTTTCTGTGGGCCTTTTAAAATCGCATAACGATGTTTTCGTTCAACAGCAATTTTTTCGGAACGAATTAACGCCGTCATGCAAGGCACCACTGTATTATAACCAAAATTTTGTTGCCATTTAATCATCACTGTTTTTACCCTTTCATCTTCTATATTATATTCTATCAAAAAAGTATACATTTTTTGTATAATCGTATCATTAGTATAAATCCAGCAATGAATCCTTTATTGAAGTACAGTCCCATGGAAAAGTTTGACTCCAAACTTTATGCCATACATTTGATCCAATAAATATATTTATCAACCCTAAACATTGTTTCTATAGATGGGCCACAGGGCTACTTTTTCTGTAAAGTTTTTAGTTTCTGTGTGGAATCGGTGTTCAGACATCAACTTCAAAGGTTAATATGCTTGAGAAAAGACATAAATTTCTGTTCTTGCTTATCTGAACCCTGCTAAACAGAGATGCCATCTCTGTGAATTCTTGCAGAAAATGCTTTTGGCCCACAACTTTAATATACAGTCACTGCGTGACAGCTGTTAGAGCACTATCGTATACAATCCAGTCTGGTTAACACTTTGAAGCAGTGTGTATATGATGGATCACCACAGTCTGCTGTAGTGTAGTTTCCGTGACATTCAGGGTGAAATGAGGCATTACAGCAGATAAAGTTGACTGGTGCCAAATCCACCATTTCCATGTTTTCTCATTTTCTCTTGCAGTAATATCTAGTAATACAAAACATGCAGTATGATGGTTTTGTATTTTGGATCTCCTCGCCTTCCCCCTAGATACATCAGGGAAACTCATGTCACATTCTTTGCCATTTTGTTTTACCAGGGGAGGGAAAAGAAAGTGATGCAATGCAATACAATGCCATGCTTTTGCCTGAGGTGTAAAATTAAGTACTTTGACTGAAGGCGAGTGGTTTTTCCCCTACCTCCACTTTTGCAGGATTACTGCTAGAAGATAATCCATCCATCCGTGCCATTACTTTAGGACATGGGCATATCCTGGTGGGAACAAAGAATGGAGAAATCCTTGAAATTGACAAAAGCGGTCCCATGACTCTACTCGTGCAGGTACTTTGACTTGTCCATCACCAAGAGCGAAGAAACAAGACACCTCGCATTGCTACCCTTGCTCACTTTTGTCTTGTCTTCGGTTTGCTAAGATATATTTTGATTGATGCCTCTCTGCTTTTTCGATAATTGAATTCCTTTGGCAGAAGGAGCAATTAAAGCTTTGGATTTGGTCAATTTAGCTGCGGCGTTTACATGGTAAAATTTCCCTCCAGGCCAGGTGTGTGCTTCCCAACTTATAGGAAATGCCCAAATTGCAATAATAGTCTTAGAACCGCTGGAAGTGACCCTATGAATGATCAAATCCAACCCGTGTCAAGGAGGCACAATGGGGAGGTGAACTCCCAACTTCTGGTTCCACAGCCAGGGACCTAAACCACTGAGTTATCTAGCAATTGGGAAGAATGACCACTATTTCTAACCATACTGTTTATGACTGCTGGGTTGGAATGAGGCCTGAGGCAGAAATGTCCTGAATGGTTTATGATACAGTATTGGGAAACCTTTAAAAATATTATTTGCTTAGTACAAATAGAGATTCCATTGATAATTTAAAAGGGAATAAGGAACACAGGAAGGACAGGTTCTGAAGCTGAGGCTGCAATACATGAGAAGAGAAGACTCTCTGGAAAAAGCCCTGATGTTGGGAAAGTGTGAAGGCAAGAGGAGAAGGGGACTAGATGGTTGGACAGTGTCATCGAAGCTCCCAACATGAATTTGACCCAACTCCAGGAAGCAGTGGAAGACAGGAGGGCCTGGCGTGCTCTGGTCCATGGGGTCACAAAGAGTCAGAAACAACTTAACAATTAAACAACAACAATGAACAGAAATTGACACAACTTAACAATTAAACAACAACAAGGAACACAGTAAAAAATAATCTTTAGAAATTAATCTTAGTTTGGAATTATAACATACAGTATTTTTTTTCTTTTTCTCCAAATGCCTTCTCAACCCTTATGCCACATAAATAGGGGCACATGGAAGGTGAAGTGTGGGGTTTGGCAGCTCATCCTCTCTTGCCAATCTGTGCAACAGTGAGTGATGATAAAACTCTGAGGATCTGGGACCTTTCCTCCCAGCATCGTATGCTAGCTGTAAGAAAACTTAAGAAAGGTAAACATATATTATTTCTATCTGTATATGCTTGTTAATATAGCTTCTTTTTACTGTCTTGTCTGTATTATCCTCCAGAAGCCTTGTGATCAGCTAACTTGTGCCAATCTACTAGCCATGAAAGTTAAACAATCAGGCATCTGCATTTTAAAAAAAATTGTATTATGCTCTATAGTCCAGCTTTTATGCATAGTAATAATTAATTGTGAGACATTTCTTTGGGAGAACGGTTAATCTTCATTGACTGTTGACATCCTTGGCATTTTAAACAACCTTTTATGAATATTTTTCTAGGTGGACGATGCTGTGCCTTCTCTCCTGATGGTAAAGCCTTGGCCGTAGGATTGAATGATGGGAGTTTTCTGGTAGTCAATGCTGATACTTTAGAAGATATGCTCTCTTTTCATCACCGAAAGGAAATGATCTCTGACATCAGATTTTCTAGGGGTACAGAAATTTGCTTTTTTGGGGTAGTACTGTGACCTGTGATGGCCTCCATGGTAGTGATTCCGGGCTGCTCCTTTTCACAGTTTGATTCCGGGCTGCTGCTTTCCATAGCACTGCATTATTGCATTGTATTATTTCCTTTTACTTGCTGATCTTCCACAATATCATAATTTAGTATCTCCATAATATTTCATATGCGCCTGTAGTTGGAGCAGGCAATTAACCCATAGCAAATGTCATGTCATGTTTTTGTATATTTACTCGATTATCTTTTCTATAGATTCAGGAAAATACCTGGCAGTGGCTTCCCATGACAATTTTGTGGATATTTACAATGTACTTACCAGCAAAAGAGTTGGCATTTGCAAAGGAGCATCAAGCTATATCACCCATATTGACTGGGATTCAAGAGGTAAAAAGCTTTGCATACCAAGTGCACTGTGATCTGACAGTCTCTCTCTCTCTCTCTCTAGTAACAAAGCGTAACAAAGGTGTTGCAGGTTTTTAAAGCCCTACAAAATCATGAATATTATTTCAATGGTGTTGAAACAGAGAATAAGACAATCTTCTGGGCAATCAAATGTCACTGATACTGAAAACAAAATTCTTAAAAGTTATTATCTGTAAAATAGGTTTTTAAAAAATTAGAATTTCAGAGCAAATGAATCAGTGTGTTCTGCCTAAATAGTAATTTTATTGTACCTGTGGTTAGATTTCAGATTGCAGAGAAGGGTGATGTCCATAATAAGACATTACAAGAAAAAAGACGAACATGTTTGCAAAAGAAATACCATTTTGACCAATATGCACATTTAGTCTGTAGCTTAATTGTCCAAGATTCATGGGCTAAATTCAAGCACCATAGGAGGAGGGTTGCCATAAGTCAGGAGGAACTTGACAGCGCATAATAACAAATCTAATTTTAGTCTCAATTAGCATACAACAATTGAATTCAATGGAATGAACCTTAATGTTGGTTACAATCCCATTCACTTTAATGGGTCTACCGTAGCTGAGATTAAAATTGAATTTAGCCCCGTGTGATTCATCCATTCCGTTCCAAATAAACAAATGTTTGTGGCTTGGGCAATGTTTTCTGACATGAGTCTGTTGTTTTGAGGAAAAACAGTTAGATAAATATCAGTCATAATTGCCTGTGATAATACCAGAGAAGTGCCACTGGATCCTTTGTTCTTTCACGTTATCCTAGGCTGTAAACCTCTACACGTTTATCTGAGATTCAGTCCAAGGGAAATCAATTGGATTTGTTTCTAAATATCTCTGTCAGATTATCTTTTGATTCAATACTGAAAGAAACTGTTGAACCTAATAGTAATATTATATCCTTTCTTTATGATTAAAGGGAAGTTACTGCAAGTCAATTCTGGTGCCAAAGAACAATTATTTTTTGAAGCACCAAGAGGAAAGAGGCATATAATAAGACCCAGTGAGGTAGGAAGGAAACCATTTGAACTTCTAAAATTGTACATAATATTATTTCCTCACTGTCTGGTAGAAGAGGAGATGCTCAGGTTGGTATACTGAGTTACTCATCTGACTTTGCTGAAGCTTGTATGTTTTACCTTGAACCCTTTAGCTGTCCTATACAACAGTTTCCCAGTACAAGCACTACATTGGGGGCTGAGGTATAGACAACTCACTGCCTTCTATGAATGTAGGGCAATACTCCAGTAGGAAGCCACATCATCTGGATAGAACAACGGTCAGGTCGATACATGGTTGGTTACAGAATCGTACTCAGAGAGTGCTTATCAATGGCTCCTTCTCAAACTGGGAGGAGGTAACAAGTGGGGCACCACAAGACTCAGCCCTGGGCCTTGTGCTGTTCAACATTTTTATTAATGACTTGGATGGGGAGCTGCAGGGAATACTTGACAAATTTACAAATGACCCAAAATTGGATAAAATAGCTAAAACCCGAGAAGGCAGAAACGAAATTCAAAAAGATATTGATAGGCTCAAGCACAAGGCTGAAAACAACAGAATGAAATTTAACAGGGATAAGCGCAAAGTGCTACACCTAGGAAGGAAAAACCAAACACACAGTAGCAAGATGGTAGATAGTTGACTAAGTAATACAATGAGCGAGAAGGATCTGGAATTGTAGATCCCAAGCTGAAAATGAGACAACAGTGTGATGTGGCTGCAAAAAAGGCCGATGCAATTTTAGGCTGGATTAACAGAAGTAGAGTTTCCAAATCCTGTGAGGTACTAGTTCCCTTCTGTTCACACTGGTAAAGCCTCATCTTGCGTACTATGTCCAGTTCTGAACACCACACTTCAAGAAGGATGCTGACAAATTAGAACAAGTTCAGAGGAGGGCAACAAGGATGATTAGGGGTCTGGAAACCAGGCCTTTTGAGGAAAGACTGGAAGCAGTGGGCATGTTTAGCCTTAAGAAAAGCATTTAAGAGCAAATTAGAGAACCATCTGTCAGATGTGCTTCGATTTTGATTCCTGCATTGAGCAGGAGGTTGGACTTGATCGCCTAATAGGCCCTTTCCAACTCTTTAAGTTTCTATATTATACTAGAAAAATGCATTACATTATGTCTAATGTTTGAATAGAGAGGGGTAGAAATTTTGTTTCTTCTGGAAGAGTCCACAGTTAAAAATAAATCCCATTTGTAATCTTTCCAAATAAACATGATAACAATTGCTTGTGAATCACTGGTCAATTCTACCTCCATTTTCTGTCTTCACTAAGTCTTAGTTTTTGAAAAGTATAGAAAACATTTCTCATTACTGATTTTCAGCAAATGCTCTCTGTTTATTAATAAAAACATTATGCATAATAAACAGAGTGGTGCATTACATTAAAAATCTCAAATCACGGCAGTGCAATCCTGTGTGTGATTATCCAGCTGTAATTCACCTTATAACAGGTGGCACTTACTCCCTATAAATCATTCATGGAATTGCTGCCTGAATAGCTTATTTTTGAAAGGAGAGCTCTGTACATGGGTGACAAATTGTGAAAATTATAAGCAGGACAAATGGTTACTCATGTGTTTTGTGTATCTGTGGCTCCATGCACAGATGCAAGGAAGATGAGCAATCAGCATCTATTCTCCATACGGTTAAGAGACAGAAAGGAGGGCTGACTGGGACTTACAGCTCTGTACAAGGTTATTGTCTAGTAATGTTGTTGTGTCTCTTGCCAGCATATTTATCCCATGTCTTCCCAACATTTGTTGATCTCCACTACATTTATTTCCTAGTGTATATAACTTAATTACCAAAACATTCAGGGTGGTTTACAAAACCCTAATAAGACCTTCTGATAAAGCAGGTATCTTGCTTTAGAGAAGAATTTCTGGCCCTGAAGAAATGGTAGTGGTGAGGTGGAGAGAAAGAGTATATATAGGGGTTGGTGAATTGCCTTGTTTGTCCTCCTTATAGCTTACAGTATATCCTGGAGGAAGGACCCTAGCTGTTTGTCGAGATAATTATAGACTGCAATATTCTGTTGCAGTGTCAATTTGGCAAACACTAGCTGAAATTCTGTTGCACAATTATGCCAACAAAGCAAGCAAAAACAATTCTGGGTGGTGGTTCAGTGGCTGTAAAAGCAGTTGGAGCTACATGTGCCCTGTGGCCCAAGTGTTTCCTCCCCCCCCCGACCCCACAGTGCTTTAATGATAATACATACAATTTTAGGGACAAAACACACATTCAGTTTTCCTGCTCTTACATCATATTCTCCCCAGTGACATAATCTACTTTACAACACATGACTCTGGAATTAGACATCTGAAGAAGCCTGTTGTTTATATGCCAGCAAATTTGTCTTCCACAATTCCGCCTTTCTCATCCCTGGAGGAAGCACTCCCTCTAGAAGTCGACTTCTCTTCTCGGAACCCTACCTGGAAGTAATATTAGAGGAAAAGGAAAAGGGAAGGAGAAGAATAAAATAAGCAGATTGTGGTACCAGCTCCTTCACAGGCTTATATAACGATCAAGTGGCATAGTTACTGCTTTAGGGAGTGAAGAGCAGTTGGCCTCAGTCAGGCTGAAGAGAGGGACTTGCCATGTTCCCTGATGCATCTGTGCTAGAGTGACTGGCCAAAGTAATAAAAACACACAAATGCCCTGATGCAGGTTTATCTTTCATGTTATCCATGCCACTGATCTACCCCATTCACTTCCTACAATAGAAAGACTATTTTCTTGGTACATGAAGGGGAAGCCCTGAATTCAATAGCTATTTGTGTGAAACATCGCTGTGGTGCTGGGAATCCGAAAAGTCGTACTGGGCCATTTTTATGTTATCTGAGACAATTACACTTTTAAATTAACACAAATCCTGGTAGAATCAATTCTTTGGATGCTGTTAACTGCTTGCCTATTTATGGTTTCTCCCCTGTCCAGATTGAGAAGATTGAATGGGACACCTGGACATGTGTCCTTGGCCCTACCTGTGAAGGAATTTGGCCCATGCACAGCGATGTCACCGTTATCAATGCAGCATCTCTTACCAAAGATAGAACCCTATTAGCTACAGGGGATGACTTCGGGTTTGTAAAGCTCTTCAGATATCCAGTAAAGGTAATGTACACAATCGCTCAGCTTTTAAAATCTTTTCATTTAAACATGTTTTCTCAGTAGCATGCTAGCAAATGGTAAAATTGTATGAAGGAAAGAAAGGTGGGGGAAAGGGGTCAATAGATGTCTCTGAATGTGTGAATTTGTGACATTGTAGGGTCAGCATGCCAAATTCAAGAAGTACGTGGGTCACAGTGCTCACGTCACCAATGTCCGGTGGTTACATAATGATTCTGTGCTGTTGACGGTGGGTGGAGCAGACACCGCCCTAATGATCTGGACTCGAGAATTTGTGGGAACCCAAGAAAGCAAGCTAGTTGACAGTGAAGAGTCAGATACTGATGCAGAAGAAGACGGAGGTAAAGGATGACGCGGCACATGTGTCTTGTTCATTGTTCTTCTATGTTTCATGAACTTCATACTATACAGACAGAGAGTAATTTGGAATTTGTTGCCTATGGATTCATTTGAACCTTTGAACCCATGACAAAGATCACAGTGATCAAGGGTAGTACTTTAAACTTTTTGGACTATAGGTGAAGTGCCGTGGATTTCTTTAATATCCTCTTCTAAAGTAAGCTTTCTTTCTACGACCAGCCAACCTATCGGCTTTTCTGCTTGTTATACTAACTTACTACATGTTGACAGTTATTTTTCTGCACAGATCATATAGTCCTCATCTGAGCTCTGAGATGGTGTCATCCAAATCTATTAACTTACCCTGTGTAAGATGTAGATAATGGATGGCGAACCTGCAGTGGTCCAGGGACCACATCCACCCACCTATGGAGATTGAAGAGTGACATAAGGGACCCATCTCTAAGGCTTATGGATCCTCAAACATATCAGAATTGCCCCTTAGCGTACTTTTTTGAGTCAAAAATTGGGGTGTGAGGATGCAGGGGGTCCATCAGTTTTTGAGGGCCTCATGTTGCCCACCCCAATGTAGATAATATCTATGCTAGGAAACAGTGCTGAATTATTAAATTTGTTTCCCACTTAATGGGAGAAAAAAATTAAACCACCCATTTTCTATGAAGATTCATTCTTGAAGCTTTCCCATGCTTAACCACCTTCTTTATAAATATGCTATGGAAAGACCATTTTTGGTCCTTGACTGACCATATATACATTAATGTTTCCACTGTAATGTTTCAAACACCTAAGGAAAGGCAGTGTTTTCTTTTGCATCTGTACTAGGTTATGATAGTGATGTTGCACGAGAAAAAGCAATTGACTACACCACAAAGATCTATGCAGTGAGCATCCGAGAGATGGAGGGCACGAAGCCACACCAGCAGCTGAAGGAAGTTCCCATGGAAGAAAGGTATGTCATGAATAGGGACTCTTTATTTACTGGCCTTCTTGACTGCAAGAAATGTGCAGGGCAGTAGTACTAATGGAGGCTGGAGGCTCCAATGTTAGTGGGGCAGTAGATTTGCTGTAGGTTTGGAGGCCAGAATTTACAAGAGCTATCCAAGATGCTGAACCCTATGCCCGTATTTGGTTCATTTAAAGTTCGGACTAAAATCTGAAGCGCATTCATACAAACACACAGCTGACATTGGAGCCAACAGCTTCCACTGCTCAGTATCCAGTATAATCATGCACTTGTAGAAGAAGCTTTTTGCAATGCATGGGCGGGCAATTACTCTTCATCCTGTCACCCCTCATCCACCTTATACTCCCTACAAACCTGCTCCAGAAGGCTAGAAAACCCTCTGAATGAAGTTTTTGGGGCAAAGAGTATAATAGGGGACACAGAGTTCAATTTTCAGCATGCTAGTTGACATTTCATGTCAGATTTAGATCACTGCATGCAAAAAAAAAACCCCCAAGGAGCATACATATCACAAGGGCACTTCAGAAATAACGTATTGCTCCCCAAGCTATGACTGGATGTGACCAGGGCAGGAGGGGGGTACCTGAAATTTTGCAGTGAAGCACACATATTTATTTATTCATTTAATTGGACTTCTACCCCGCCCATCTAGACCAAAGGTCTACTCTGGGAGGCATACCCCAACCTAGTCCATGAGCCGCCATGGTTACAAGCTGGTTAGTTTCCCTTTACAGTTAAATGGTGTATTCCGGTTGGCATGCTCAGAATACTAAATTGCATCCACCAGTTTTAAATTTGAAAATGTAACTGTAGATGCTGTTGTGACAATATGTTGATCGTATCTTTACCTTTTTAATTCTAGAGCTGTCATTCATTTGTTTGGAAAATAACAGCTACCAAATCTTAATTCTATCCCTTTTTCTATATTGTGATAAAATAATGCATTCTGCACATCACCAAGTGGCATTGCGAATATTTGAAAGTAAAAGACGTTGTTAAGCAGTGCTACTCTTATACTGCTAGTAGTTTGTTCTTTAAAAACTTCCCCTCAGTTATGGCTTACATTTGGAATGTGTATTTTACATAATTTTTCCCTTTCACCATAACCTTAAGTAACATTGCCCTCTTTTCATCAACTAATAAAAGCTCAAAATGTCTGCTGGAGTTTGACGTGGAGACAGTACCTATTGTTAAGAGAACTGTGGAGCGTCAAGAAATTCAGGAGGCATAGCTTTTATACCAGCTGGTTCTCCTGCACTCCTTTTCCCATATTTTCCCAGAATAAATTTTGAGGCCAATTAATATAGGCATTTCTGACAGTATATGCAATCTCTTCATGTAGATCCCCCTCGCCCCCAGCCACTTGTTTTCTTTTATTTAAAATATTTTTTTCCTGTCTTTGTTAGCCATTTGGATGAGTCCACAACCTAAAAAAAAAAGAAAGGACTATAATAAAAATGTCCTCTGCAAAAGATCAATAACAACACAACATTCTGGAGAAAATAAAGACAGTAGTTCAAAGGAATAGGAAACCCATTTAGCTAGCAGTATACGATAACCAACAAAAACACAGAAGGGTTGTGAACCTTCAAGTTACCAGCCAGAACAGAGGCAAAATGGAACAACAGTATCTTGACCTGGCATCTGAAGGCAAGGCAGAGGTTTTCGTGTTTCTAGATGCAACCACTGTGAAATCTCACCCATAACACCTTTTATGGTATTGGAACACAAAGCAGATCTATGGTTGAAGATGTAAGAAAACTGATTGGAGGAAGTAGTATAGACTGACATTGGCATCTACCACATTCATGCAACCATTATACAAATCCACTTGGCACACTGGAAGGGATGCTTTGTCTTGGCCCCTGCTGCCACACACCTCTCAGTGCTGCCTCTGTCTCCCAGTACCACTTCATCTTCCTGGTGGCTTGAGTGGTAGCCCTTTTGGCACCTACTGCAGGTGCCCATCTTCTTCAGGCGAGTGAAGGTGTCCAATGAGGACAAGATAGGTTTAGAGCAGTGGCTCCCAACCTTTGGTCCTCGTATGTTTTTGGACTAAAACATCCAGAAGTCTTCACCACCATCTATACTGGAGTTGTAGTCCAAGAACATCTGGGGACCCAAGGTTAGGAACCATTGGTTTCCACAGTTACCAGCCAATGACAATGCTGCCATCAAGAAAGCCCATCTGGTCACAGGGGAAACTACCTGTAGCAGGGCTACCAGGGCACCAGATGTGGCGGGGAGATGATGATGCTACTGCCAGTGCCAGGGGTGGCGATGTGGCCCTGTAGTTTGGTATAGGCTTTGTCAGCCCTGCAGTGAGAGACCGTAACAGTACTATGTTGAGAGCTGACATGAGCCCAGCATGTACCCTGGAATTGGTTCTTTAAATTTTTTGCCCCTAAATTTTTTGCTTTTTAATAAATTATTTTGGAGGGCTTTGACAACTTGCATATGTTTAAAGTTTCATGATGCATTTTGAAAAATAATTAAGTATAACATGTTAACAGTATGTTAAAATGAAGAAACATTCCCTATTACACTAAAAATAACATGTTATTCGTTGTTTATTTGTTTTTCTAAAATAACACAACTATGCCTGTAATACTTCTCAAAGCAGCACATGACAGATAACACCAGTATTTGAGACGATTACTTCAAGCTCCATAACCCAATTAGGCCACAGGTTATTGTTTTATCATAGGAAATCAATTAGCTGATGCAGAAGATGCCCTTTTCAGGTAATTGTAGGACAGGACTATCAATTTATATTTCTGAGCTTTCCCTGGCCTCTGCATAATCACAATGTCAAAGTGCAAGGCAGAGTGAATATGTGTGAAGAATACAGTTGCAGGCATAAAAACATCCTTCTTGACACTTTCAGCTTTGACTTTATTAAAGGGAAGTTCAGTTAAAAACACTTATGGGTGTTGCTTAGTGAAATCTGCCAAGCCAGTTGCTAGAGCAGAATATAATCTGTATAATGGTTAAAGACAGAATTTCAACATCCAGCACATACTCTAGCTCCTTGATAACTAGTGAAGTCAGAATAAATTCTGCAAAATACTCATTCAAATGAGTATTTTGCAGGGAAAAAATATATGAGGGAAATATATGAGGGAAAAATATATGAAAAGTTGCATAGTTATGTGGAGGCTGCCAGAATTCAGCTTTTGTTGAATCAGAGGCTGGATTGCCTGGCTGAAGAATTTTGATTCAATTTACAATCATTGTTGATGTTTACGAGGTATGAGATACAGAAACACACAGGATTGTTGTGTTTGACATGTTGAATCAGAAAAACTGTATTCTGAAAGGAAATCCATGTGAGTTTCTACAAAGCCAGTAAATTCCAGTGCCAGTCCTAATACACATAGCCTTGCTTCTAGATCTAAATCCCCAAACTGCTGGTTTCATCCACTGACTCCAGTGTTAGCTTTCCTCACAAAGAAATAGTAGCTTTTGGATGGGTTGGCGGTTGGATTGTGATATATGGAGAGAAGATTACTCCTGTTCTTTGGGGCAGTGCCCAACCTGCTTGGCTTACTTCACATGTGTTATTTTTGAGTAAATATAACATGTGTTCTGAGAGTTCGTCACTGAAGTATGAGAGTATAGTAAAATTCTTTGTGCCAGTTTTTTACTCTCCCAGGTAACAACAAATAATACATTGCTACTACCTATAACAATACATATTGTGGAACTGCGATCCATGCATTTAGCATGTTTTGTTACTTCTAAACTCTCTTGCTAGTTTGAATTCATTCTGAGCTTTAGTCTTTCTAACCTTCTCTCTACAAACATTGTCTACTTGCTTGTACTCTTCCTTAGTGATTTACTCCCATCCACTATAAGTGCCTTCTCTTCGAGAACTTCTGACCATGAGATCTCACCCACTATTTCCTTTAGATTTTTAAAATCAGCTTGCCTAAAAATCTAGAGTGCCCATCATACTCCTCTTCTGCTTTCCCTTTTCTCAGAATAACAAAATCCAAGAGAGTGTTGTTCTATTGTTTTATGTGATATACTGTTAGAAAAAATTCTGTACACTTTGATTTTAAGATGGCTTGATTTAAAAGAAAGGGTAGAAGAAATCTAATAAATAATAATAACAATTTTTTTTCATTAAACTGAAGGTTTGCAGGGATATGTGAAATGCTCTCAGTAATGGGAGGATTTCTACTCACATTATTTCCGCAGCCTATTTTTGAACTTTGGACATGATTATGAGCAACCTGGTGAGAAAGGTCACATTATTAAACTTGCTTGTGGGTTCAAGTATAGGCTGCAGAGAAAGTGTAAAATGTCTAGAAATCCTCCCCTTAGCCCATCTGTGTTTAGCTTCTTTGTTTCTTGTCACTCCCCACCCCAAAAGAGAGCCTTTATTTAGAAATACTACTATGTAACTTTTTCAGGTAAATACAGAGAGGTTTGTTGTGGGTTTTTCAGGCTTTTTGGGCATGTTCTGAAGGTTGTTCTTCCTAATATTTCACCAGTCTCTGTGGCCGGCATCTTCAGAGGACAGGAGTAACACTCTGTGCTCTGGTGCAGCTTGTTTGGGAGCTGTAGGATCAACTTTTGTCCTTTTCAGGAGATGGGTGATGATGGTGAACAGTGTGTTTTTGTTGTGGATGTGAGGTTTATTTTTCAGGGGTAAACATTTTCTGAAATATATTCTTCTTTGCATTTCGGCATAACACTAGTTTAATAACTTCAGATATTGTATAGCAATTGTGGGTTGGTTGAGTCTATGTAACTCAACTTTTTTAGTTTTTGCAAGAGGGAGTTAATCTTTGTCACCTTCCTGAAAAGATTCAAGGGAAAAAATGATTGGTCAGGTCTGCTTTGATTTTGATTCCTGCACCGAGCAGACGATTGGACTTGATGGCCTTATAGCTTCCTTCTAACTTCATTATTCTTTGATTATGTGATTTATGCAATCCATAGACTTTCTTCATCCCCTTTCCCAAAGCATTCTTTCC